TTCCTGCTGTTTGTTTTGCAGAGAAAGCAGGCCCAGTTCTATGAAAACATTGTCAAAGTGATCAGACCCAAACCAGACTACTTTGCTGTTGGATACTATGGCCAAGGATTCCCAACGTTCATAAGGGTAAGTGTCCATGTGTTTCCACAGAGCACAGCAAGTTTTCCTGCTCTGGAGATTCCCCTTGGTTGTGGAGAAAGTGCATCAGTATGTCCCTGTGTTATTTGCAATCTAACACTGATCATTGGGTTTTAGGTGTGTAAAACAAACATTGGGTTTTCCTTTCTAGCTTTCGTGTGGAATAATTGAATTTTAGCAGAGAAACGTTCTCTTCAAACATATCTAATACTTTGTATTTCTTCAGGGTATCCCTGGGAATGAAGATGTATGGCCCAGTCTATTGATCCCCTGATCATAGATGTTTGTCATAGGTGGACAAACGCATCTGCAGTGGTGACATTTTTGCCTGACAAGTGATATATATATATTTATTTATTTATTTGAATGAGGTAGAGAAGCCTTTTGTATGTGCCCGTGTTTCCATGGGAGTGTCCTTTCCAGCACAGCCCCTAAAATGAACTATCAGAGATGTGTGTGGTACCTTTAGTGACAATCTTTTATCATTGATTTTCCTGAATTATGTGTCAATGGAAGACATAACTCACTTGGTTAATGCCATTGCTGTAGGTCTAGTGATATCTGAGTTATTTCCACTGATACCAGGATTTTTGAAGGTGGAATTAGAGGCTGAAAAGAGTGAGGATTAAACATGTCTGAATTGTATCTGTGTCATGGTCCTGTGGCACAGGCAAGGACACCTCCCACCAGCCCAGGTTGCTCCAGGCCCCATCCAACCTGGCCTGGAACACTCCCAGGGATGGAGCAGCCACAGCTGCTCTGGGCAACATCTGCCAGAGCATCAGGCCCTCACAGGGAAGAATTTCTTCCCAATATCCCATCTATCCCTGTCCTCTGGCAGTAGGAAGCCATTCCCTCTGTCCTGTCCCTCCAGATCCTTCTCCCAAGTCCCTCTGAAGCTCTCTTGGAGCCCCTTTAGGCACTGGAAGGTGCTCTAAGATATTTCTGTAGAAAATGAGTGAATTCCTGGTTTATTATATTGTTATAGGGAAGGCTTTCTCAGGAATCCTCAAAGCAATGAATGTGGGCTCAAGTCACTGCTGACTTTGCAGAGGGAATTGTGGCTGTCACTTGTCATGAAATTTGGTGATAATGTCCATCCACTGTCACCCCCTAGAAACACCAGGAGCATCCAGTGCCCCAGAGGGGTTGGCACCCTGGGGTCAGGATGGGCACAGTGAGGTATCCTGCGTGGTCATGGGGCACACAAAAGTGTGGAGAGCAAAACACAACGTTCCCACCGAGTGCTGTGTTCAGCTGTGGAGCCAAAGGGATTCCAGGCAGAGCAGTGTGAGTCTGATGTACTGATGTGGAACTGCTGAATGGGGTTTTGTATGTGCAGGAAAACAGGCTGAGGTTTATAACAGCCTCGTGGATTGGTCAGTTTGTGACAAGTGAGCACTAAAAACTCTGAAAAACAGGCCGTGAAGTGCCTTGTTGGTTGAGAAAATCCTCAACACAAGCTGCTTCTTCTATTCCAATATTCTCTGTGATTCCAGGTGTATATATGTGAACTGCAGTTGCACAGAGACTTCTTAGGCATTTAGTATTGCCTTTTTTCCCCCTAATTTGAGAGTATTCGTTCACCTACTGAGCACTGCAAAAGGCACCACTGCACAATTAAACCCAGATGGGCAGAGCTAAACTGTTCCATGTTTCTAGCCCAAGTCATAATGCCCTTTTTTAACTAAGTGCTGTGTAATTTTTCCACCAAGAGTTCATTTTGAGGTGAGTAATGAGGTTAACCATATTCCCATGCAAATTTTATCCAAACTTGCTTTAATGTGTTTGATCAGTTAAAAATATGCAAGTCATCTCCTACATTTTCCTTTAGAATCCCATGAACTCAGTCTGTAAATGGACTGTGTAAAATGCATCTTCATTTCCCTTGTTGCTAAAGAAGAAACCAATGCTTAGAAAGACAATGTCCTTAATTTCAGAGGTAAGTAGTATGCAGACAGCTTCACAATGGCAAAAACCTAGTAGGCCAATATGAAGCCTATGGCATCATCAGTATCTCTGGAGCCTAAAACTGGTGTTCATTTTTGGTGTTACTTTTCTCTGCTACTATTCCTTCCTCACCTCAGTGCCTTTTAATAACTGTTTATGGATAAAAACTCTAATTCTGTTTGTTTCCATCCATTCCACCATTAGCTGTGGAAGATGGAGGGGAATTATAGAGGGAGATCTTGGATTTGGTAGATACAATTTGTCTTCATGTGTCCTCAGTGTCCACCCATTTTAGATCCTTGAAATCATGTGTTTAGTTGAATTTAGTGTGGTTTATGCGTACAACTAAAAGGAAGTTGTGCTTAATGATCTCAGCACTGAATTGGAGGTGACAAAATCCACGTGTGCTTTATTGAATTGGCATCAAACGTTGGTAAACTCCTGATTATGCCACAGTGAGAGGAAAGTGAAGTTTTTGATTGACCAGCATTGGTGCCAGTGCTCCTGAGATCCCAGTTCTTCCCTGAGGGTACTGGTTTTAGCAGGATCCCGGTGCCAGAATGTCACCTCTCAATTTGCTTCCAGAACAAAGTCTTCATTTACCGGGGGAAGGAGTACGAGCGACGCGAGGACTTCGAGGCAAGGCTGCTCACACAGTTCCCCAACGCGGAGAAAATGAAGACAACGTCTCCACCAGGGGAAGACATCAAAAACTCCTCTGGCCAGTGTATCCTTGGGTTGGACACTCAGTGCAGCCTCTGCATCCAGCACCACAGGGCAAGGATTTATGGCCAACAGAGCCACAGAATAACCAGAGTTGGAAGGGACCTTCAGGATCATCCTGTCCAACTCTTTGCCCTGCACAGACACCCCAACAACCTACCCTGTGCCTGAGAGTGCTGGCCAAACACTCCCTGAGCTCTGTCAGTCTTCGGGCTGTGCCCACTGCCCTGGGGAGCTGTTCAGTGCCCAAACACCTCTCAGGGAAGAACGTTGTCCTGATATCCAACCTAACCCTCCCCTGACACAACTTCAGATATTCCCTCGGGTCCTGTCACTGGTCCCAGAGAGCAGATCTCAGAGCTGCCCCTGCACTGCCCCTGTGAGGAAGCTGTATGAAGCTCTGAGTCTCCTCCAGCTGAACAGATAAGTGCCTCAGCCACTGCTCATGTAGCTTCTTCTCAAGGTCCTTCACCTGTTGCCCTTCTACCCTTGTGGGTGTAATACACCAACTGGAATACACCAATTCCAGTGTCGTGTCCTTTTTGTGCTGTCCCTGTTTTGCTGCCTCTTCTGCTTGTCTCAAATTCACTTTTCACTTCTTAACCCCCAAATTCAGATATTCAGTGCTTTACTGTGAAGCCCAAACTGGATTTACCCTCCAAGTTTCACAGGCCAGTGTCAGAGCAAATTGTGAGGTGAGTTCGGGTTTGGTTTGGGGGTTTCTCAGTCACCTTCATACTAAACTGCTGCTTGTTGTATGATGAATCTGTGCACAGCTAATTGGGTGGTAATTGTGTGGACATTTAATGGTATTTCTTAATGCTGGCAGAGATTCCACCCAGCCCACTGGAAAACAGTGATCCCAGAAGCATTTTATGTGTATGTACAGATATATAAACATTTTCTAATACTAGAACTTAGCAACAATTCCTAAGCAGATAATGCTTGATTTCCCCTGTGCTTTTGGAGGTTGAAACTAAATGATCTTTCAGGTCCTTTCCAAGCCAAACCATTCTGTGATTGTGTCATCCCATGATTCTTTTCCCTTTTCCCAGTTTTTATAGGGTGAATGAAGTCCAACGGTTTGAGTACTCACGTCCCGTCCGGAAGGGAGAGAAAAACCCTGACAACGAGTTTGCAGTAAGAAATTAACAAGAAACCAAAATACTTTGGGGGTTTCCTTGGTTATTATGAGAATCTGAACCATTCATCATCTTTTAGTTGTTGTTAGATAAATTTGAGGCTTAAAAGTGATTATTTTTCATGCAATTAAACCAATTGAGTATGTTCTGGTTTATACTGAGCCCAAACTCAGTGTTCAAATCCAGGTTGGATGAGCCTTGAGCAACCTGCTCTGGTGGGAGCTGTCTCTGCCCAGGGCAGGGGTTGGGGCTGGATCATCTCTAAGCTCCATTGCCATCCCAAAAATTCTATGATTCTGTAACTAGGGAAAAAAATGAGCAAAATTATATTTCTTTGGATAAAAACAGCTGTTTGGAGAAAGGATTTTTAGTTGCTACACCTGAAAATACCACTATCTCTTGCCAAAACTTGGCTTGCCATGAAGATTCCAGCAAGGCATGTAAAAATCTGTTTTCACTAATACTTTTGTTTTTTATTTTTTGGTCATAAACCATATGTTTCATCTAATGGTAAATAAAACTCCTCTGTGAGGAGGCACTGGCACAGGTTGCCCAGAGGAGCTGTGGCTGCTCCATCCCTGGGTGTGTTCCAGGTCAGATTGGATGGGGCTTGGAGCAACCTGGACTGGTGGAAGGTGTCCCTGACCATGGCAGGGGTGGAATGGGATGAGCTTTAAGGTCCTTCCAACCCAAACCAGTCTGGGATTCTATGAACAAAGGCTGTCCAGAAAAACCAGTGGATGTTTTCCCTAGCAATCTCCTTTGGTAAGAGTAGTTTTCTCTGCTAAGTCACGTATCAGATTTAAATCAGTGCTGCTCCATCTTCCCCATGAGCAGATACTGCTTGAAATTGTCCCCTGGCTCGATAACACCTGTCCTACCCTGGTTCCTTCTCCTGGTGATAATGTTTTAAGGCTTAAGATCAGAGCTGTCCATCTGGTAATGTGCTGTTTATGTTCCCTTTGCAGAACATGTGGATTGAGAGAACCATCTATGTGACAGCCTATAAACTACCAGGAATTCTGAGGTGGTTTGAAGTCAAATCAGTTTTCATGGTAAGATCAGTTTGGCTTTATTGAGACTGCATAAAATAATGGGGGGTTTGCACAGCCAGGGAGCATTTCTGTGTCTGTGTGACTGCACTTGGCACCCTAAGGGGAACGTGCTGAGCATGCTGATTATTGGCTGAGGGTGACTGAAGTAGAGCTTTCACACTCCTGAGGGCAGGGAATGTGACCAGGTCTCCTAGGACTTAAGGGCAAGGCCTGATCAAGTGCTTCAAGTACTTGTATATTGTGGGTCTCAGTAGAGTGAGCCATTACAGCCCTGAGCCCTGCAGAGAAGGACTTGAGGGTGATGGTTGATGACAGACTTAACATGAGCTGCAGTGTGAGCTCAGCCTAGAAACCAACTGTGTCCTGGGCTGCATCCCAAGGAGTGTAGCAGCAGGTGAGGGAGGGGATTCTCCCCCTCTGCTCTGCTCTGCTGAGGCCTCACCTGGAATACTGCACACAGTTCTGGTGTCCTCAACATCGGAAGGACTTGGAACTGTTGGAGCAAGGGACAGGCTGAGAGAGTTGGGGCTGTTCAGCCTGGAGAAGAGAAGGTTGTGTGGAGACCGCAGCCCAGCCTGCAGGAGCTGAAGGGGCTCCAGGGAAGCTGCAGAGGGACTCTGTGTTAGGAACTGCAGGGACAGGACAAGAAGGGGAGAAATTGAAAGAGGGAAATTCAAAATAGGTATCAGGAAGAAGTTTTTGCTGTGAGGGTGGTGAGACACTGGCCCAGGTTGCCCAGGGAGGCTGTGGCTGCCCCAACCCTGGCAGTGTTCACAGCCAGGTTGGATGAGCCTTGAGCAACCTGCTCTGGTGGGAGGTGTCCCTGCCCAGGGCAGGGGTTGGGGCTGGATCATCTCTAAGCTCCATTCCAACCCCTGAACATCCTGTGAAACCCAGAGGACCTGAGGTGGTGCAGAGGAACTCTACTCCATCCGTGAAACTAGTCTGAATGTTCTAAAAGAGTGTATTTTACTTGACACTTACTCAAAATCCACCATAAATCAAATGCATTGTATGTGCCTACATTTCTTATCTACTTAGCATGTGTCATTAAAGGTTGTTTCTGTTTCTTTTCCATATTTAGCTAAAATATACCCTCAGCAACCTCACAGAGTAACTCCAAATTACTCATTTCTCTGTTCAACCATTTAGACTGTTTAGATAAGACATATCCATTAAAGGCCTTTAAGATTAAATGATTCTTACACAGCTGTAATTTTTAAGTAGCAATAAAAACATTGTTACTGCCTTTTTAAAAACTCTCTTGTGAGGCTTATTTTTAAAGGGGAAAAAAAGAACAATTTGCATATGATTAATTAAAACCTTTTTCATTGCTCCATTGAGGTTATGTTGGACAGTTGTATTTGGATGAACAGAAGTAATGCAGAAAATTACTATGGTATCTATAGTAACAGAATATGAATGTGGTGTGTGACAGTAATAGGCAGCTGAATAAAACACAGTGAATTTTTAATGAGTTTGGTAGTTTCAATATAATCCTGATGGAGGAGGTTGTATTTATCTCCATGATTGCTAAAAGGGAATGTTTGTAAAAGCTGGCAAAGCTGGTGGAAGTCTCTTCTCCTGAGGAGAGCAGAGCCTGACAGGCAGTTTGTGTCTCTGCACCCCTAGCACTCTGCTTGGCATCCACATCAGAGAATCATAGAATTTTAGGGATTGGAATGGAGCTCAGAGATCACCCAGCCCCAACCCCTGCCCTGGGCATCTCCCACCAGAGCAGGTTGCTCAAGGCTCATCCAACCTGGCTGTGAACATCACCAGGGTTGGGGCAGCCACAGCCTCCTGGGCAACCTGGGCCAGTGTTCTCACCACCCTCACAGGGAAAACTAATATCTAGCCAAAATTGCCCCTCTTTCAATTTAAATCTGTTACTCATTGTCTTGTCCCTGCAGTTCCTAACACAGAGTCCCTCTGCAGCTTCCCTGGAGTCCCTTCAGCTCCTGCAGGTTGCTCTGAGGTCTCCACACAACCTTCTCTTCTCCAGGCTGAACAGCCCCAGCTTCCTCAGCCTGTCCTCACAGGGGAGATGCTCCAGTGCTCTGATCAGCTTTGTGGCCTCCTCTGGACTTGCTCCAACAGTTCCTTGTCCTCCTTATGTTGGGGACACCAGAACTGTGTGCAGCATTCCAGGTGGAGTCTCACGAGAGAACAAATGACATAAATCCCACAAATCCAGAGCTTTCTGGCAGCTTTTGGTGAGTCAGGATTATATTACTTGCATGGCTGAAACATGATACCTGAATAGAATTTACTAATCTGTGGGGAGGAGGCTCTGGATAACTCCTGACCTCCTCTGGTGTCGTTACTACTAAATGAGTATTGACTTCCTTCAGGATTGCTGTCAGCTAAAATGCTGGGAGCAGGATCTGGAGGTTTACATTCATGTAATGCTAAATTGTGGTTATGGATACAGATATTATTGATCTTTTACTAAGCATGATGCTGCCCAAGCAGCTCTGCACGTTTCATAGTCTATTGATGGAGCTGGAATACCTTTCAAGGCAGAGGTGAGATCATCTCAAATCAGTGCTGAGACGAGAGAGTAATCTAATAAATGCAGTATGTTATGTTCCATAACCCACAGGAATGTGCAGAATTGCCATAAATTTGTTGCCTTTTACAATTTCTGCTGAGTACCTTTACCTAAACTTTCTCAATCTGTTCGTCATCTGCAAGGAATTTGTGGCTCTCAGTCATTACTCTGTTTCTGGTTTGGCTGAGCTTGGACACAAGCAGTTTGTAAGGGGAGGATTTGCTGAGGGCAGGCAGTGAATTCCAAACTGGGTTTGGAATCACACTTGGTTTTCAATAGCACAAGTGCTGCTGGTTTGAATTTATCTTGTCATTTTTTTCCTGGTTCAAATGTGTCAGGAGTGTGTCATTCCTGTTTGTCCTGGAGTCAGCAAGCTGCAGGGAACAAGGCTCATCGTTTATAGGTGTAATAGATGGCTTGCACCAAGTTCCAAAGCTCACAGGAGTAAAGTGGGAACTGCAAGTCTCCACCTGCTTTTAAAAGATTAGAGGGAGGGTTATAAGAGTAGTAAAAGGAGAATGGAAAGAAAGCCATGATTGCTGTCCCAGGGAAGTCAGGAGAGCTGTCTGTCAGCTCAATGAGTGCTGATTTCTCTAGATGCTCAAGAGCTTTAACAGCAATGGTTCATCACCACAGCATTGCCTAGTTATCAGCCCATTAATACAGATGGCAGAAGCCTAAATTTAGCCTGTGATGTTCACACTTCTTGGCCAATCATATGTGGAATGTGGCTTCATTCCCCCAATTTCACCAGTAGCATATTGAGCTCTGTCCAAGCCTCATCTGCTCCCTGTGCCCAGCAGGAACATCAGGCTCTCCCCTGCCTTCCTGCAGGATTCACCAGGCAGACTGTTCAAAATGCTAATTAAAACCTCCTTGCTGTAATCAGCTGGCAGGTGTAAGAGTAACAACCAAAGAGATTTGATTAGAAGTGGTGCTCAGAAGCAGGGGGAGCAGCTGAAATCCAGGTACAAGTGCTGCTTTGTTTATGTAGCATTTATGTAGATGAGGCTGTAATCAAATATACACTTGCATTTTCCTCACAGGCCTCAATTAACCTTTCTTTTCTCTCTCTACCACATCATCTTTTTACTACAAGCAGGTTGTATCTTCCTCTGAGGTCTGTCTTCACTCTGGGTCACTCCAAGTTAGGAATTTTGAGCACATTCACTAATATTTAGCGTATTTAATCCTGGGTTTTTTTCCAACATGAACAACTGTCATTGTGAAAGACACAGTAATCTAGGCATAAAAAATTAGCTGGAGATCAGTCAATTAAAATAAAGCAAGTTTTAAACACTCTAACAGCTAATTCACCTCATGAAGACATCTGAGGAGCTCTTGTCATTGAAGTCCAGGCTGTGCGAGAGGGAAAATTTCTCCTCTCAGTTCAGATGAAGCAAACGTGACCTCCTGGGGAAAAAGCACAGCAGATAGCTTAGATGTCATCACTTCAACATATTAAACTTGATGTCCTTGGAAATATACCAAAATAATCACTGCAAAAAATATCTCCTTGGTTTTTTGAGCTGCTTAGGATTACATTTTCCATCAGAAATCCATGTTAAGTTATCATTTCTTTCTTGCTGCTGCGTTAAGCTGGAGCTTCTTTGTGCTGCTAAAACTCACCGACCCTTAATCTCTGATGTTCTCTGTAATCCTCCAAACCCTCACGTGATTCCTGCCAGAGCCTTGCTAAATGTTGTGCTGAGATGTAATCCCTCCTGCAGCAGCTAAATGCATTTAACTTTCCCCTCTGATACTGATCATCCTGTCAGTTGCCTCAGTATAGAGACACCAAGTGCCTGAAATCACCATTTCTGGGAATTACTGGCCAAACTCGTGGAATAAACTTTGATCTGGAATTCCTGGATTGTTTCTAATGATGGTGATTTGCTGAGCATCTCTACTAGAGAAACTGGCTGCTCATGGCTTGGCTGGGTGGAATCTTCCATGAAGTACAAACTGGCTGATGGCACAGAGAGTTGTGGTGGATGGAGTTGGGGGTGTCACTAGTGATGTTCCCCAGGGCTCAGTGTTGGGGAAGGTCCTGTTTGACCTCTTTACTGATGATTTGGACATGGGGACTGAGTGCACCTTCAGTATATTTGCAGAGACACCAAGTTGGGTGTG